AAGTATACAAGTCCAAATCTAAAACGTTAGTACTTTTCCATGCAGGTTTGTGCACATGGGAGAGGGTGTCCAGTTTGTCTCATGATTGTTATTTAGAGAGTTGGACCACTACTGTGTGTTGCTAATCATTGACTGTAGTCCCAAAAAAGCCTTGTGAAAATGTTATTCCTTATGTAACAGCAGAGTCACCTACAAGAAAGTGACATTTTATAAACCAAAAAAAAAAAAAAAGCAATGGGTCACTACCAACTGGGCGTCATACCAGGCAGGCAAGGATGGTTTGACATGAGAAAATCAAGCCACCACGGCAATAAAACTGGGGGTAAGGACCACGTGATCCACTCATTCAGTGCAGAAAAAGCACTCGGTGAAGTCCAACATCCATTCCTGATTTCAAAGACAAAACCAAAAACACTAGCAAATATAGGAAGAGAAGGGAAATTCTCTGACATAATGAAGAGCATATTTAAAACATCGACAGCCCGCATTATTCTTAATGGAGGAGCACAGAAGCACTGCCTGGAGAAAAGCATCATCCCTGGACACAGGAGCAGCGCTGGCAGAGCAAAATTCAAAGCTGAAAAAATTAAGAAGACCAGACTTACTGGTTGGAAAGAGGCTAGAGGAACTCCCTGGAGACAGACAGCTTCCTAACTGGAACTCACTGCAGGCCGAGGCTCCACGGGGCGGACGAGACCCCCAACAACGGGAAGAACGTGCTCCTCAGAACAATGAACAGTCTCCGACCAAAAGGGGAACATTTGCCCAGAACCAAAGATGAGCCGACGGGAGGGCCAGGGAAACAGAGGATTGGGAAGGAAGAAGCCGGGGAAGAAATGGAAAGAGTGCTGACGCATGGCGGGGAGGGGGGTGGGTTGCAGCCAAAGTTGCTGAAAAATTGGTATATGAACTTTTGATTCGGAAATCGGATTCTCTGGTACACTTGCACCAAACACACAATGGCACGTTGTGCTCGTTTTGAATTGTATCCCATTGAAAAGGGGACTGTGTAAATTTAGAATGGAAAAGCCAGGAGACATTTTTTTTTATGCTCTGGGTGGGGAGCGGCGAGGCCGGCAAGCCTCGCTGAGAAGGGAGGACATGATCATGGCAGCAGTGGGCTCCAGTCGCCGGGCACCATCTAGTTCCTCTGGTCTCAGGTTCAAGGAGGCTGTGCTGCAGGCAGTGTACTGACAGTCAGGGAGTCGCTGCCCCCCACCCGCCCCACCAGTGTTGATGCCACAACCATGTTTTGGTTGCTGTGTGTAGACACGGCACTATGGCGACTACAGGCTCCAGGCGCCCTGACAAGATGGTAGGGCTTATTCAGACGTCTCGAGGGGCTGACTTTTTTCCTTGCGAGTCAATGGTCTCCAGCAGGGACGGCCTGGCAGTCGGAAGCGAGAGCCGAGTCTGTGAGCCCCTCCTTCCACATCAGCATGTGGTTCTCAC